AGTTTGTTGAAGAAAATACTTGCATTCCCCAAGATGCGACGTCGTACGTCATTACTATTAACTCGATGTTGCCACCAAACACGAGCGATCCTCCTTAAGCAACCGTTATCAAAGGCAGCAAGACGACGCATGTCTTCCACGCGAATCGGCCAGGACTCGCTCCCATACAACAATACTGAGCGAACTGATGCGCTGTAAATGCGGCCCTTTAGTGAGAATGAGACGTTACGACGACGCCACAAGTGCCTCAGATTGACAAATACTGACCGAGCTTTAGCGATACGAAGCGATATACCATCCATCACAACAAGGCCAATGTACAGCAGGAACTGCCGATACTCTGTGTCTTTCCATCGATCTGCATCTATGAAATTGCGGCACTTTCTGGGGGAAATCTACCGTCAGTGACTTGTGGCATTGATCTATCCTGATGTTACATTCGATATCAGCATGGCGGACAAGCGCACCTTGGTGGGTATAGGGCACTTGTGCCACAAATTAGTCAAACGCCTCATGAACCCAAGGCAAACTATGTGCATGTAGTCCAGAAGAAATCAGATTATCATGTCAATGCTAAGTGCCTCAAAAGGGGAATCAACAACGTAATGTTTTGCTCGAAAACGCAGATGGAAATCTTCATCATTCCTTGGCGTGGTATCCGTGTCCAGTGGGAAAATCATGTGGCCATCTACATACACACCTATAAGAAGTTATCGAAATGTTAAAGAAATTGGATGCTAACCAGTAACGGCACATATCTCTCAGGCGTAGTAACCAGAATGCTGTTTTACTTGTCGCATGTATGCCCGAGCAGGAGCATCTTCAATCGCACACTTCAAGGTAAGTTTCACCAAATGACCTTCTGGAGATAGACAGATTCCTGGATGCAGGCAATCTATCAGCTCAGCAGTGGTTGGTCGTTGAAACTCATGTACGTCTACAGGTTTCGACAATCCGAAATACAATCCGACAATGAAAACGCATGAAGGCGGATCCGTGAGTCTAGCCAAGACAGGTCACAATTGTTTACGCGAACTGCGGAACAGGGTGTGTCCATCTGTGTGCAGCTGCAGATGCATCTTCGACATGACAGTAGCATCACTGGTTTACAACACGCGACGTATTCCTGTAACCAGTCCAACATGTACGTAATCGCCAAGCTTAACAACGGCAACCGGGCATCCACGTGGTTTATATATATATATATATATATATATATATATATATATATATATATATATATATATATATATATAATACACAATCTGTGGTACAGATATTGTGCCATCGGAATCATGGCTGAATAGGAAAACAATATGAATAATAGGAAAAGAGCAACAAGAACTGCTTTTTTTCTATTTTACCACTCACAGTTTTTGAAATATTTTCAGTTTGTTCTTTGTGGGGGGAGGAAGAAGGGACACCGCAACAAACCGATGCACACGTCCGCCATTGACATCGATCTTGAGCCATGGCTTCCAAGGTCTTCAACCAGCAAGTATCCGCATCTCTCGTACCCCAACCAGGTAGTCGACAACAACCGGCCGAGGCCAACTGTTTCGTCAGCTTTTTCATGCGGCTTCTCCATGTTGTAGGCTGTCCACCAGACCGTCTCTTCCAGCCCTGTCCAGCAAGTGCAAACACCGCACGACGGGGGTAACGCTGGACAGGCATGCGCAATACGTGTCCCAACCACCGCGGTTGATGCAGTGAGACGAGCTCCTCGAGCGAGTGTCTTCCACGCCCCAAGACACGCTGTCTAACTTCCACGTTGCTTACGTGGTGCTGCCACGACACACGGGCAATGGACCGCAGACTGCCGCCGAACCATTCGCTGGAACGTGAAAAACCCGAACCACCTAGCTGACACCACGAGGAGGTTGTTCGGCAAGGCTGCTGTGTGTTAGTACCAGCAACTTCTCCAAGGCTTCTGGAAAGCGAGGGACACACAACCGGTTGGGAACTTATTGGGGAAACACCTGAAAATACTTTAACCAAAGGAGCCACGTGCATACCGAATGTAGCATTGTTCTGCATTGCGGTACCGTAAGCATATTTCGTGAGCCGCTAGATGTTAGACCGAGAGCCACCAGCATAAGGTCTTCGAGGTCGGCGAGGAATAACTACAATCTTTCACCTCGATAGCAATGACGAGAAAATGTCCGCTAGATGATTTTCTGGTACAGTTAAAAAACGTTCAATGTGGGATGATTAAACATGTAACATTACTTGAATACCACTTCTTGTTACCAATGTTATGGCAAAACTGACTGTACAGTTTTCTTCACATGTAGTCATTATTTTAAGGGTGACTAAGGACTCCCAATTGGGATGCTTGATCGTTCACCTGTGCTGACAGGGTGCAGTGTAAGGCAATGTGTAACGGGACGAAGGTGTGCGAAAGCGAGAAGGGTAGACGACAAATAGGTTTGACAAATGGCGCAAATATTTTGGTTATCGGAGAACTGTTGCAATATTCAACTCTCGGACCGCCCATTTGTTACAATTCTGATACTGCAGCGGTATGCAATAACGGTAGACTCTTACATTTGATCCGAAACGCTGCTCCCAAGAAGCGCGTCAGTAGGTCAAACAAGAACACCAATTCACATTAAAGAACATCGCGGCCCACCATGCGTATCTATTTTCTCGGTAATAATAATTTGCAGATATGCTTTGCTCATGCGCATGGTTCAGGTGGCGCAATTCGTTTCCTTTTTCAATTGACAGTCATTTTCCTTTGAGTCTATGTGGTCATTTGAAGCGTTACTTGAGAAGCCTATCGGCACGGTTACGAATGGTTTTCTTTGAAGAGAAGATACCAAAACGAAGTTTATGTATCTAGTTAACTAATCACAATGCTTCTATGCATCCATGTCATTAAATGAATACTGCAGCAGCACTAATTTTTTTGCAGTCTCTGACCTTTCTGAGGAAAGTATTGTCTCCATCTTGCAGGTGGGCTAGTTAACCAAAGACTCGGGTTGGGGTCCTTTAAGCCAATTCCCTACTTCGGCTTGGACAACTGGGTAATCTCACAACCTCTGACAAAAATTTATGGACTGTTTTACAATGTGCTCACCGGCTACGGTTTCTGCTTCTTACATTCGCACGCCAATTGTTTGTTTGCTAACAATTCTTGTCATCCGTTACCTCATTCCTATGTTTATGGGTCTGTCTGCGATTCCGGTTTCATCACGAACCATGGAGTTCTACCTATGGCTCTTCTTCGACCCCGATCCTCCTTCTGTCTTGCGTGCTTCACCCTACGGGCACTCTTGCAGATTGGACAGCAAACGATTCTAGCACGCTAGGTCACATCCTACGCTTGCCTTGCGGGCGTTTAGCACGGCGTACTCTATTCGCTCACGCAGGGACGCACTGGAAGAAATCTTATGGTGGCCAACCTACCACATGGCATCAAAACGTCAAGGCGCTGACTCGAGTCGTTGTCGGCCCAGTATGTCTCCCGAGCTGGAGGATCCCAGCTGAGGAACATCGTTGGTTGGAGACTCTTATGGACATGGCGTGTAATCGCGGACACTGGAAGATTTCAATAAATCTTTGCATTAGTTCCACTGATCAACAACGTAATCACTAAACGTACAAAAAAAGAGAACCACATGTGCAAAACAAAAACCTTTCGTTCTTTTTTTGGATGCTTTCTGTCGATGCACACTATGAGGTTTTCACGCAGGTGACAGCGGCATCTTAATGGTTTTAATATGTGCATATGTGGTCTATACGGTAAGAAATTGTTTCATCAGTCGCCACAACTGCATTTTCAGCTTCGGCATGGAGCCTGGTTCTTTGTAGCATAAGATGCGTGGTCGAGAATTTTGTCAATAGCTTATCAAATCAGAGGCATTCTAAGTATCACAACAGTGATACGATAATAACTCTATGTTGAGTATGGTAATTCTGCTGACTTATTTCCTCCTGACTGCAATCCTCCATCCCGAAATATGCATTTTCTTTACTTCATTCGCTTCGTTGTAATTCTCTTATTCAGGAAATAGGATAAGTTCATGTACATGAAAATAATGTTTTAAAATATCGCCAATTTATTCGTTGTTGTTGGGTTTCAAACGCTAATTATTGAGCGACTAACGAAAAAAATGAAAGAAGAGTGCCACTGTACCATCCAGATGTCAGTGTGTGTGTCCGAACCTGTTGGACAAGAACCTTGGGGCGTGGTCCAGTTAGAAGTCCCCATCACGATGTAGGGCGCTTATATACACTACTCCGCCATCAGTTATTCTGACGTCTATTATTCAAAAATTGGCTGTATGCTTTAGTGTCATTCTTCCTTTGTGCGTTTGCACTGCCTGTTTTCCACAATGCACAGTCCCAGTCTACACTTGCCAGAGCACTGGAGGAAGCACTTTCCGATGTCCGGTTCTTCTTGGAAGTTGTATACCACGTTGCGGCATAGAGATCTAGAATTATGCAGTTGGATTAAATTGCTGAATGCTTGGTGTATTTATCCCTAGGCATTGTTTTTACGCTTGAGCAGTACGGTTTTGTACTATGCTGCGTTTCTGGTGACATTTGGCATTTTTCTACTAGTAAGTTCCCCAAAGGACTTTGCTACTTCAGATGAGTCGTTTCTTTGCTTGTGAACTGCCTATAACTTATCCTCTTTTCTGCATAACTTCGATCCAAGGTGTTTGTTTTGCTCTTGCACTAGGTAGTCCCACTTTGACTACAGATGGTAGACATTCTAAAGTCAGTCACGTTGTATGGTCCGAGAGGTAACGATTTTTTAATATCTCGCGTAATCACGGCCATCAGCTCGGTTCTTGAACGAACTGTGAGATTGCAATGCGATGGGGTGCTCTAAAAATTCATTGCTTTCTTTCAGCTTAACCGTACCATGAACCTCAGCTTTTAATTTAGTTTTATCTCATGATTCTGTTTTTCCCATTTCGTTCTTTAGCCAGTGTTTTTTATTGTTGGACATAGGCTACTATGATGAACCTAAATTGGTCATGTTGTAGATCGAAGGGGATCGTCAGGAAGTTAATCGGAAAATACACGTTGGTCGTTTGACTGAAGATGTTGGTGTGGATGCTCTCCGACATCATTTCTCACAGTACGGTCGCGTAAGTAGTGCTACGTTTTTCATCTGTTGTTTTCCGTTTTATTTTACCCCCTAAATGGTTTTGTCTCACATATTGCATCGTGAGCATAACAGACATGCTGGACAACACTTGGCACCTTAGCTGTAACAATGGAACAATGGTTTTATACGGGTAAAATGGCTAATGCTTAACTGATCCCGTAGGATAATTATTGTGAAGCTTCAGAATTTAAAAAATTGTTAGCCAACTTGTGTTTACGCCGGTTAACTCACGTAGTATAAACTGTAATTCCAAGGTAAATCCATAAGGAATGATGACAAATGGATTGGTGATAAAAATCGTGTCTCCTCCCGGTGTACACATACAAAAGGTGAAAAATTGGAACGAAATCTGGAACCGCTAGTGCAATTTTTTGCAGACACTTGTGTTTATCCATGGGTGATGGGTCATGTAAGCTGGTGCAGCGAATAAGTGCACGGTCAACTCGGGCTTGGAATCCTGCCAGCGTGGGAGCATAGATGTCAGATTCCAGTAGGGTATTCCACTCTTCTCAAACGCGTAGGGAAAAGAAATTCCGAAGTCATTCCAAACGACTATACTGCTCTGCCAGCTTGAGATAGTGTCCACTCAGATTACTATTGTGACTGAGCTCTAGCAAATGGCGGCAGGTGGGGTTGGGATATCTCAAAATCTGGTAAGTCACGATGTCCACGCAGTCGCCTATACTGTCCGCTGAAGACCCCGAGCGCTTGTAGCCTTCTTTCCTACGGCAAATTATACAGACGACATTTTTGGTTGCCCTGCGTTGGGGGTTCTCCAAGGCGGTGTAATCTCTCCTCAGTCATGCTGCCAGACTTGTATTGCATATTCCACATGTGGACCAGTTGTTGAAAAATCGAAGGGTCGAATCGTCCGTATTCACGCTTCAGAAGGCCCAGGTGTTAGATGTCCCTTCTGGACGCCGTTTCAGGTTGTTTCGAACATCCAAGGTCGGCCTGGACCAAAACCCAGATCTTTCACTTCGGAAGACGTTTGAAACTCCTGGTTGCCGAGTTTGTAGAAGTGCACCAACTCGTGCCGTAAGTGTAGCACTCTACATTTGTCCACATCGAATCGAAGTAGATTCTGGATTGACCACGCGTATACCCTATCCAGATCAGCTTGAAGTACTGTGTTATCATCTGATGTATTGATAGCCCTCCACACCTTGATGTCATCAGCATAAAGAAGGCAGTTTGAGATTCTGAGAAGTGTGATATCGTTAATATATGTCAAAAATAACCACGGTCCAAGTACCGATCCCTGTGGTACTCCGCATTCAACTCGGATGGGATCTGACAGTGATTTACGCACCCGTATTTCCACGTGTCGGTGTGGAAGAAAGCTTCTGATCCATCCTAGGAAAGGATCACCAATATTAAAGGTCTGGAGTTTGAAGAGCTGGATGTCATGGTTTAACCGGTCGAATGCGTTTAAGAAGTCGACTCTATGTCTATGTGTAGTTGCTAGGCTAGGCTAGTTTCTAGGCTGTTGAGATTTATACATATATACATAAGAAGTCGGGAAAGATTATCTCAACTCCTGTGCCAGAGTCTACTGCTTCAGTCCAGCTGGATCGTGCTAGTCGTAGATTTGTAGTGCCCGATCGATTTTGTCGGAAGCCATGCTGCTCCGGTGTGCAGTAGTTAGATTCTTCAAAGTTAGGTTCTTCAAAGTAGGCCTTTAGTGCATCAGAAATAATGGTTCCCATGACCTTTGAAAGGGCCGGTACTAAACATGAGTCGGTCGTGGGCTGGATTTGAACGTCTACCTTGTGAATCATCCCGTGTTTCCACATGTCGGGCACGTATATTTCGTCACAACACTGTTGGAAGAATCGATGCAAATGCTCAGCTAAACTCTCTCCATTCGCCGCTAGCGATTTCGTGTGTATACTATCAACTTCAGAAGAGCTACGCTTGAGCTTTAGTGTAGCTTCTGCTGTGAAGAATATGTGAGTTTTGGGAGTAAAGCAACCATTGTCAAAGGGTTAAGTGGCCAGTGATTGTACTGTACTGTTGCAGCATATTGTAGGCGCAAGGTATTCGCCGCCTCCTTCGGTGTCGTGTGGGTCCATCCGTTGTTTGAAGAGGAGGTTCCATGTTTTACCCTACGTAGACTGTTGACGCCTTGATGCAGAAGCTTGTGGTTTTTGGCCATACGCATTGCCAACTTCTGCTGGTACATTATGCTATCCTCGGGAACAAGATGAGTACAGTGATTACGTTGCGTCACATAGGCTATCCAGTTCTTGGTGCTTGGGGAGACTTTGTAGATATTCCTGGCTGAGTATCGCACCTCTATACACTTGCGTGTCATACTTCGCAGGAACGTGGCCACCTTTATCGGGTGAAAGGTTTTCGTCGCTGGCGCAACGGCAACTAGAGAGTTAAACTGGTTGACGAAATGTTCCTATGCACCAGCTGGTGTCTCATCTGCCAGAAAGGTCTAGTTGGCTGTCTCACCTAATCGAGCTAGTATGACGTAGCGTATAATCGTTTTTGTTGCGTCGACAATTTCCACGGAATATTCTGCATGGCAAATATATTCGAAGAGTAGGGTTGCATGATCGCTACGACTCAAGGGGACGTCGACGATCACCCCCTCGACCACTAGTTCTTCGATAGTAAATATCCAATCCAGTATCTAAAGCTTATCTCTTTCTCGAGATCGGGTGGGTGTGGTGATGTGGCCATCCAGCAGGTAAATGGAGACAAAATTGTAGATCGGCCTTTAACTGTACTCCGGGAGCTACTTGGGATTCCAGAGCGTGGATGTTGAAATCGTTAGTACTGAGAATGTGGCTGTACCTTGTGTTTATCACCCTCCTTATTGCGGATTCCGGATGCGAGTCCATCTTGGGCATGGAGGAAGGAGGACGGTGAATGACCGCCATTAGGCAAGTGTCCTTTTACACATAGACTGTACCAAAAGGAATCTTGTACCATTCTGACCGGATCCTCTATGTGCTCACATTAGAGGTTGTTGTGGAAGTACAGGGCCACCCCTCCACCTTTGCTAGGTCGGTCATGCCGAACAATGGACATGCCTGGCACTGCGATCTGCGTGTCACTTATCTTGAGGCGTAATCACGTCTCTGTTCTAGCGATGATGTCGCAGGGTTTTGATCCTTGATGCAGCCGCATTTTGGAAAGTTTGCTAAGCCTTGTGCGTTGGTGTACATACAGGAAATCTTCTCGGATGTCAAAAGCTGTTGAATAGGAACACATCAATGATGTGGATTTGTGCCGACCGATAAGAGGCCGGCACCTAATCGTTCTTTTTTTGGTGAATTGCCAAATCTCGTTAGTAATGCCGTCTCTTTTTTGTTTCACGTGCACTTCCTCGATAGTTACAGGTCTTCGCGCTCAAGTTTTTGAATTGTTGTTATTGTTGTTGTTGTTGTGTTTTGTGAGTCGCGAGCGCTGTCGTTTCCGCGAGGACGGCGAATGGTTACAGTTCTCTAACTGTTATCTTCGGTCGTAGTTCCGAAGGAAGTGTGTTGCGCAGTTTCTGCCAGCTGCGTATGAAGTTCACTGCCATTTGTTGTGACTACATGATTAGTTTCAGTATCCTCGGGCCACGGCCTCTGTAGTTTGGCGACACGGGCTACCGTGTGATCGAGTGAAGTATGACGTCGCCCGCACTTAGAGCTTCACGAATGTACTGCCATTCTTCCAGTTCATGAGCATGGGATTCTTCCTCTCTAGATACCGAACGAAAATATTTCTGTTGCTACTAATGTGTGGTAGTCGTTCGAGTTATTTTTGTCCCGCTGGCGTTCGCTCCATGAATCATCTGGAAATATGCGTATCCCACCGTTTTCAGCCTGCATACGTTTTGCCGACAAAGGCACCGTCTCGACATCATACGTGGATCCTAATTTTCCTGATTGTCTCATCGTGGCTGCGTTTCCTGTGACCAGTGGTGCGGATCAGTTGGAAAGACCGGCGATTATTGCGTGCTGCACTCGTCTCCTCCATTTCCAGAGTCTTACTGATCCACATGACTTTGTTGTCTGCACGCAGGCTCCGCTTTGGTTTACGCCTAACAGTCCGTCTGCTTACACTGTTCTCAGAGCCAGTACGGAGTTTTCTTCTGGATCCCAACAGGCTCATCGATTTCTCAGATCAGAGTCCACCCATACATTCCAAACCGAGCGACAGACAAGAATGGAAGCACGCTTATTTGGATCCATCACAGATTAGCTATAGGCGGACTTCAAATGACACCTCGGCGTCTACTGTGTCTAAACGTGTGGCTGCTAAGCAACAGTCGGTGCTCCGCACACGGTTGCATCAGACGTTCGCTGTTGTCTGTCTGATCGGAGTTAAGGCCGTGCTAACCCCTAGCTGAGCTTCTGAAGAGCAAAGACAACCTACTTTTGCATTATCAACGATATCTAGACTGGTAACATTACGAAGCCGTGTGTCTGTTCCCTGGCAAAATGCGTCTTTCGCAACAGCAGTCACTGGCGCCATAAGCGGCAATCACGCACTAATATAGTGTCTAGTATTTCTTTGTGTGTCAATATGATGCACGCAAATGGCTGCTCACGGGAATCCAGTCAACCAGTGATGAGTCAGATTTGGAGCGCAGTGTAACGGCCATCCACCGTTTGGCCCCCGAGTGCAGCATCAGCGTCTGTGAATGCGCGTAAACGATATCGAAGAACAAGCCAGATGAATTGAGTTCGACAATAACGTGAGGGTCATTAATCTTAATTTCGAACGCAACACACGTCAACACTCGGTGTGTCCAGTGGACGTACGAGTGCACTCTGTTGACCTAATTGTACTGGATTGCGAACGTTGAACGCAGCCATAGAAAGTGCGCAGTATTGTGTCATAAGCGATTACTGTCGATAGGATCCAGTGAATGATGCGGGCACATAGCTGCAGATGACAGAACTGTTGTGACATTGTCGCTGTTATCAACTAAGCTGGGGATTACCGAAGGAATGTTAGCAATAGATGTCGGGA